ACAAACCATCAGGTTATTTTTTAAGCCATCTCAATCCACGTCATTTTCACGCAATCTGTGACCATCCTTTAGGCCCCAGGTAGCGCCACTTATTCCAGGAAGCATCTTGTGTCTCAGACCTCAGTAAGAAATACTCTGATCTGAGACAGCCTTCACTGATTTCTACTAGATTTGCGTGGCTAGGGCAGTGCCATGGACAGGTAAGAGGGACTACAAGGAAAACATAAGAAGAGGAACAGAATCTAACTGCTTGTCCTATTTCACCCAAACGATTATTTCCCAAACACTACCATAGGGGTCTTGAATAAAATAAAGCTGAAATCTTATAAAATACAGTAAATTTTATTATTTAGGGACTTCAGGGGAAGGAAGAGCTGATAGTGCCACACTTCTTAAAAAGTTACTTCTTCGCTAATTCTCTGTAATTTGGGGGGTAGAAAACTTAGGTACCCAGCACAAATGGGTAAATAATTCATATAAAAAAATGTTTTCAAATAAATAAGATTTATCTCTGTGTGTGATTTTTTTTTTTTTTTTTTTCTGTATGCGGGCCTCTCACTGTTGTGGCCTCTCCCGTTGCGGTTCACAGGCTCCGGACGCGCAGGCCCAGCAGCCATGGCTCACGGGCCCAGCCGCTCCGCTGCATGTGGGATCTTCCCCGACCGGGGCACGAACCCGTGTCCCCTGCATCGGCAGGTGGACTCTCAACCACTGCGCCACCAGGGAATCCCTCTGTGTGATTTTTTAACTATATTTTAACAGAATTTTAAAAATAAATTACATATATATACATTTCATTGTTTAAATTCTTAACTAGAACCTGGTAAATGTAAGTAACATGTTTTACACAGAAGAAATAAAATAAATTGTCCTTTTCTTAATTCAAAATTATCATTATGAAATCATCATGATCCACCTGTTATTATTCTATGCATTAAAAAGTAATGTCCTCAAGAAAAAGAAAAAAGAAATACCCTGATCTGTTATTCTGGTGAGCATCTAGTCGTGTTCTCAATAGTGGAGTCATCTGTGGACAAGCCCTATCCCTTACAGAGACCATCTGTGTTCTACACAACTCCTACCCACCAGAGCCCACAAACATGGTAGAACTCAAAACACAAAGACACTCTTTTATTAGAACAGTTCCAATAACCTTGTTAGTGAGTCCTGCTATGCTAAGTCTCCCTGGAAGCACGCATCTAGAATCACAACATTTTAAAGCTAGAAAGGTCCTTTCAAGCCCCTCAGAAATTTCCCTCATATGTGAGGGAAATGAGGAAACTGGAGAAGCCAAATGGCTTGTCCAAGTTTGGTGACAGAATTAGGACAATCCAAGCCCCTGACTACCATCCACGTGCTGCAAAGAACCTCAGTTTTCTTACGAAAACACTTTCAAGTGTGAAGTTGAGAAAACAAGTTACTTCTCCAAATCTCAAGTTTATTCTTATAAAAGAATGGAACAAGACCATCCTCAAGTTTTCTTCTGTCTCTAAAATCTGGTGAATCTCATTTTCATAATGTATAATACCACATGTCCCCGGCACGGTGTGGGGATAGAAAGCTGCTCTCATCTTCCCTTCAAGAATATAAACGTGGGAGAGTACATGAAGAAAGGGTGGGAGGAAGCGAAAGAAGTGATGGTGGGAGTTAGCTGGACGCCATTAGGAATCCCCTCTCTTCCCAGGCCCCCCTCCACTCCCTCCCAGCAAGCCACAGAGAGTAGGATGGGGACTTCCCAGTAGCTAACCATACCACAGCCCCTGCTCCAGCCTCCCCTCTCACCTCCTCAGAATGCTGGTGGGAGGACAGGAGGGCGAGATAGATGGATGAAGGAGGGCTGTTGGAAGCTTCTAGCTCCAGGCCAGGTTAGGAGCCAGTCAGTACTGATTAGCTGTCAGGGACCTGCAGGATAGACAGGGAACCCCGAGTGGCCACTCATTTCCCCTTGAGAATCAATGACTTAATTTTTCTGTTCTTTACCCTAGATAGAGTAGGCATGAGGCTGAACAGGATTATTCTGCCACCTGAATAATCTCATGCAGTGGGATCACTGGCTTGGCTCAGCTGTTTGTCCATTTCCTGCACAGAATCCCACCCAATCAGAGCAGTGTGCTGCTCACCCAGGAATCGCCCACAAGTCCCAAAGATCTTTGGAGCCGTCGGCTACTTCAGTATCACGCAGAGCTCCTGGAGTCAGCGTTCCTAACATTCACATCATCAAGGATGCTCCAGTACTAGGCTTTGCCTCTCTAATTTGACACATAAAGTAATGCAGTTTTGAGTGATTCTCTTCCCATATAAATCAGAGCTAATTCAAGCCTAGTCCTTTAGAATGCCACTGTCACTTCTTGTATTTTCTACTGTATTACACAGGATAAAGGGGTTGGGGGGGTGCCAGTTGGCCTCTAGGGGTTATGTCTAACCCTCCCTGCTGCATGGCTGCTTTAAGTTATTCTCCTAAAAGTAATAATATTAACTGTTAACACATAATACCACTAACTGTGAGTCTCTTAACAGGTTTAACTCTCACAACAACCCTGGCCAATAAGGACCATTACTGATCATATCTAAATAAGGACTATTATGGACTATAATGATCATCATCAGCTCCAGTTCAAAGATGAGAGACCAGAAGGAAGTTGCTGGCACAGAAAAATGAGGTCACTTGCCCAAGGTCATACTAGCAGCAAGTGGCAGAACCAGGATTCGAACACAGGTCCCTCCACTTCACCCAGGTGAAGGTGGCCTCCTAGGGAAGTGGGACACAGAGACCGTCAACAGCTGGTAATAAGGGAAGAGGGGCAAGCTGAATTATTTCTTCAGAGTTGCCCTTTTCTTCCTCAAACCACCTGGTATTATGACAAGCAATGTCACATGGGATAAAAGGTTAACACCCAAACAGAAATGTTACCATAGCGAAAGGAGAAATCTCCAGAGCTCTCAGTGGGAAAGATAAAGATAGACTAAGGGGAGAGTTCCATTTACAAAACTTTACTTTGATGCTAATAATTTACACCTACACCAATGAACATTTCCCCCATTTTACTGGCTTGCCAGTGGCTGGACAAATCCACATGAAGGCATTTATCTTAAATATCACTTGATTATTTCAGTTACTACTTTGAGCCACACTTAGTCCTTTTATATCTCCTTGCACTCAGCTGATAATCTCAGGATACTCCACTGTGTTCACTTCAGAAAATTTCCCCTAAACATTTCCACAGCGCCCTGTAATTCACAGCTGTGCTCACTATCCAGTAGCTCATGTTTTGTCAATGGGTACTTAATAGAGAATTCTGGAGAGCAAGCACTTTTTATGGCCTTTTTTCCCTATACCTTGGTGGGAAAAGAAAAGAAACTGGCAGATTCAAGACTGCCATAGCTTTCCACTTCAAAGAGCTGTAAAACACTTGTTTACAAAAGCAGTCAGTCCTATTTTATTTATTTATTTAATTTTTACTAATTATTCTATTTTTATTTATTTATTGGCCACACCAGGCGGCTTGCAGGATCTTAGTTCCCCCACCAGGGGTCAAACCAAGGCCCCCTGCAGTGCAAGGGCAGAGACCTAACCACTGGACCCAGAGAATTCCCAGTCAATCCTATTTTATGCAAACTTTTTCATGCAACGTCATTATTCCTTAAGACATTCTTCAAGGTTCCCAGGAAGGGGACGAGCAGGAGGCAGACCTCCTCCCCAAGCAAGAGAAGCCATCTCAACCCTAGGAAACGGTGCGGAACCCAGCTGTTTCAGGGATCCCTGACCAAGATAGTGACAGAACATCAAGTGTTCAGAAACATGAAGAGTCGTTCTGCAAGGTGGATCCGCAGCCTCTTGGAACAGCTCTCCGTTCATTCCTCTTCCCGACCCCTCCCACCCTCAGCAGGCTCCCAAAACACAACAAAACCCGGAGGTGGCCGTGCTTCAGCTCCCACCAATCTCATCTCAAGTCTGGGGAAGAGAATGAATTTCTGCTTTCCCAAAGAAGGGGTTTTTATCAAGGCCTCTGCAGTTCCATTTAAGGACAGAGCAAAAAGTTTAGAAGTTTGGACTTGTAGAGATAGCTGAGTTTCGTGGATGTGACCCATTTAAACCAGGTCATTTTAAAATGCTCTTTCAAAGTCTGATTATATTAATAATTGAAATCACCCAATTATCTAAAAGGAAGAACGAGCGATCTATGAAGTGAATACCCATGAATTAATGTAGGGCACTCTGAAAACTAAACTGTTTGGTGGGAGGAACAATCATATCAGTTTCGATTTTTTTTTCCTTTTTAAGTAACTTCCAGAGAACAATCTATTTAAATGAAATCGCCACACGAAAAGCCGCCTCTAGGTGGATTTCAAAGTTAATGATATCTCTTTTAAACACACACACACACACACACACACACACTCACACCCACAACAACAACGTGTGGCGAAGTTTGAGGGGTTCTCATAATCACAGACCGATCCGGAAGCTGCTAGAAACAATTAAGCAGGATTTCAAAATGACTGGTACAGGATGTGCCCGTAGAAAGAAAGTAAAGTTGAGCGCACTGGTGGAGCTGCCAAAGTTGCTACTGCAAAGTACCCTGAACTTGTACAGGGTGGCCTGGGGTCACTCTGACCGCCCTTCCTCTGTCTGGTCGCCTTACAAACAAACGCACTAGCCCTAGTGGTATCTGGCGGGAGCGGGCAGGGGGGAGATGCGAGAACTGCGAGCGGGAGTGAAGGGCGGGGCAGAGGGAGGGTGCCTGCAGGAGCTCCAGGGTCCTTCTTAACTCGAAGAACGGGTTTCGCTGTAGTCCAAGTAGGGGACAACGAGGTGGCAATGAACTTCCTCCCCCCGAGAGACCCACGCGCGGCAAGGACAGCAGGAACGTCCCTGGAGCACTCGATTCCAGCTTTTCCGCGGGCCCGGGCGCGCAGGGGCCTGTTTGGGTTGGGGTCGGCAGGGATGCCCCGCGAGGAGGTGGCGGGCTGGCGTGGGTGAGGCCCCAGGAAGCGCCTACCTGTACGGCGGCGCGTTCAGAGCTCGCGGCCCGGCCGCGGCGCGCAAGTGCTAGAGGCAGCCCGGGGACGGCCTGGGCGGGCGGGGCGCGCATCGCGCCCGGCGGGCTGCTCTCTTCCCGCCGCGGGGCGCCGGGAAGACTCCCGCCTCTTCTCCTGCCGGCTGAGGACACGGCGGGTCCCGCGGCGGCGGTAGCAACAGGCACCGAGGCGCGGGTGCGGCGGCGGCAGTGGCGGCGGCGGCGGCGGAGGAGGAGGAGGTGTCTGCGCGCGACTCGCGTTTCCTCCTCCGCGGCAGGGCGAGCGCAGGGAAGGCGAGGGTAGGGCAGAACCCGGGAATCGCCCAACTCGGTCCCCAGGGGCCTGAGAGGGCGAAGCGATGCTTCCTCCCTCTCCACTGCGCTGTTTGACTCGAGAGCGGCATGGCCGGGACGGGCAAGTCACACACGGACAACAGCTGCTGCAGTGGGGGTCCGTCGCGGCCTCCCTCCCTTCGCTATCTCTCCCCTCCCCAGCTGTCCATCCTCAACCCGCCCCCTCGGCCTCCAGCCGCGGCCCGGGAGACGGTGTGCCGGGCGCCGCCCCCACCCAGCCCCAGAGCAGGGTCTTGGCCGCCGAACGCCTAGGGCTCCGGGGACGCGGAGCCCCGCGCGTGGTTAAGGCCCTCGAGGAGGGATGTACGGTTGCACACCCTGTCTTCGGCGGCCTATTAATAGCAGGTGGCACTGCCCGCCGCGCTCTCTGCCTGCGAGACTCTCAGCAGGTGGCACTGCCAGCCCGCTCTTCGCTCCCCTGCAGTAGCCTGGCCTCATCTGCACTCTCGCCTTCTCTCTCAGCAATGGACCGGGTGAAAACTGCACAGAACACAGCAAGGCGATCAAGCCACCTGACTCTCCGCCGCATCACCCCTTCTTCCCGTCCTAGGCAGGGAGTGAATTCGGCACTGGCATCCTATGCGGCGCTTGCAGGCAAGGGTCGAAAATCGGGGACTCAGGGAATAGCCGGAGGCTGAAGTGCCCTCCCCTATTAAACACCAGGAAACCCATTTCCGAACTGCGGAGTGACGCAGAGGCTACATTGGGCGCTTTTCCCCTTCCTCCTGGTCTAGCGCACGCACGTTTCTCTCTCTCCCTCTCTCTCTCTCTCTCTCTCTCTCTCTCTCTCTCTCTCTCTCTCTCTTTCTCTTTCTCTCTCTCTCTCTCTCTCTCTCTCTCTCTCACACACACACACACACACACACACACCCCTCGGTGTACCCAACCCTCGAGTCAGGTTTGGAGAAATTCCCAGCGGCCTAGGAGAGACACCAGGGAGATGTAAGACGTCTGAGAAAGCGGGCTCCTAGGATTAGATGGCAGTGTGCAGGAAACAGGCAAACCTCCCAAATCCCTGTCCCACCAGGTAAAAGGGGGCAGTTTCACTCCGGGGGGTAGGTAGAGGGATCTGAGGAAAGTGGGGGACTTAGCAGAGAGGGGAAAGCAGGAAGAAGGGGGAGCTGGACGTGGGGTAGGTGGGGAGGGGGCTAGGCAGCGGCAGAAGGGGACGGCATCTCTCAGGATTTTTTGCTTAGTGTTAGCTGCAGGCTAACTTTAGGGAAGTAGCTGAATTTGAGCTGCAGGGTTGGACGTGAACCCAAGTCCCAACTCTACCACTGGGTGGGCTTAGACAAGCTCCTGGACCTCTGGTCTGCATTCTTTTACCTGTAAAATGGGACCAATACACACTTTATGAGATCATTGTGAGGATACAATGGCGAAGTGTACATAAAGCGCTTAGTACAGTGGCACATATATGGCTCTCAGCTAACGGCAGCAGCTATTGTTACCGTGGCTCAGGATGCAAGTACAGGTCCAAGGTTCTCCCATCCCTCCTTCCTCCCTTCTCCCTCCAGGAACAGTGAGTTGCTAGAAGCTGAGGAGGCTCTTGGAGGCTTTTCTTTTTTAAGAATTTTTTTTTTTATGCGGGCCAATCTCAAAGTCTCTATTGAATTTGTTACAATATTGTTTCTTGGCCAGGAGGCATGTGGGATCCCAGCTCCCTGACCAGGGATTGAACCCACACGCCTGGCAGGGGAAGTCTCAACCACTGGACCAGCAGGAAGTCCCAGGCAATTGGAGCCTTTTTGATTAGGACTACCTTATGGTCCCTGATCCCATTTCCCTGGATGCTCACATCCCAGGGAGTTATATTTAAGTGGGATACAAAAGTTTTATCCACAGCTTTATTTAAAACTTATAATACTGGTAGCTATTATTCGTTGAGGGGCTAGTCTATTTGGGGCATTGTGGAAGCCACTTTATATATATTGTCTCTAATCCTCACAAAAATTCTTTAGGGCAGAGATGATTAAATCCACTTGACTAATGAGGAAACTAAGAGGTTAATGCCTCTTTGGACCACAGAACTAGTAGGTTCTGGGATCTAGATCCAAAGACTGTTATAACACACTTCCTCTCTGGTCACTGTGTAGCTCTCTTGTAGCACTCAATTCATTCTTTGTTATAGCACAGTTATTTGTGTACTTAGCCTCAAATCTTTTTTAAAAAAGAGGTAAGAGGACTTCCCTGGTGGCACAGTGGTTAAGAATCTGCCTGCTAATGCAGGGGACACAGGTTCGAACCCTGGTCCAGGAAGATCCCACATGCCGCGGAGCAACTAAGCCCGTGCGCCACAACTACTGAAGCCCGTGTGCCACAATTAGTGAAGCCCACGTGCCTAGAGCCTGCGCTCTGCAACAAGAGAAGCCACTGCAATGAAAAGCCTGCACACTGCAATGAAGAGCAGCCCCCGCTCGCCACAATGAAGAGTAGCCTCTGCTTGCCAAAACTAGAGAAAGCCTACGTGCAGCAACAAAGACCCAACACAGCCAAAAATAAACAAGTAAATAAATAAACATAAACAAATAAAATAAAACTAAGCATGTAATTTGGTTAATCACTTATTGTGAATAAAACCTCATTTTAAAAAAGGAGGTAAGGAATATATGCAGACATAAATAATGATTAGAATGTTTACTGGGTTATGGAAATTGTTCTTCATTAGGTTATAAGACCAGGTAAACCAGTTAAACCGTATTGTTACCTCTTGGATCACACCATAATCATTTCCCATTTTTGTCTCCAACTCACTCGTACAGTTCTCATCCCCTCTCTGCAGCAGCCTGCTGAGCACGCTTAGCTCCAGAGTGCTAGATGTCAAGAGAGGCACACTCATCCATTTCGCTGACATCCCCGAACTGCCTTTTATACACGATCGGCCAGATGATAGTTGAAACTATTACCTAACAACACTGGTCAGGTCAAGGCTGGACGCTGCACACATCCTGGCCAGAACTCCCTTCCATCCTGCCTTTTACTCCCTTTGCGTTTCTTCATTAATCCCCTTCACACCCACTCCATCCACACCCCCAGTCCCAAAGTGCAGGAAAGCTTAGGTAGAGGTAGGCAGCCAGATGGTGTGCTAATCAGGCCGCAAAGGTAGGAAGTGGAAGGGGTGGGGTACAGAGGCAGACCCGGGCCCCATGTCTCTCGTAATATTCCTTCCCTCCACTCCACTGCTGTAATCTAGCAAGTTGTGGCTCAGAGGTTTACAGCTTAGTGGCAAATGACCATTTCCTTGACCCTGTAACCTGAGTTAGGGAAGCGTCTCGACCTTGTGAGAAGCAGTGATTTCTGCATCACTCTTCCAGTTCCCAGGGTCAGTTAGTGCCCTAGGGATAATAACAAGGGATTTTATAATACTTTTAGCTTCCTGGAAACAGAACTCCCTTTATAATATGTGATAAACATTTTCAAACTTTTTGCTGCAAAGCATTGTCCCAGAGAGTAGAGGAGAGCCTGCCATCAACCTCATTGGCACTCATTTCTAGCAGCTCTGGAAGAAATAACAAAGGGGCCTTTGGGACTAATGGTGTTCCTGGGATGGCAGGATAAAGACTGTTGAACAGGAAGGGGACATCCATGTGCAGAGCAGAAAGGTAAGAGTGACAACCCAGCTCTTAACCTGCAAGCGCCATTGCTCTAGGAGGGAAGTGGCTCCTCCTTTCCCTTGTCACACAAATGTGTGACTCCCGGCAGGGCTGGGACACTGCCAAGGCGGAGGCTGGGGCAGCAGGGCCTTGGTGATGGCAACAGAGAGCTCTCTGGGGCCCGAGATGGGAGTTCTTTGTCACCATTAACAAAACCAGGTAGGGAATGGGGCCAGACACTGCTGTGACTCTGCTTCCAGCCCCTGCTTCTCCTGAAATCCTGCCATGGATCATTCTGGGGGGCCTTCCCCTATAGACTCTCTTAATTTAGCTATTTTCTCCGTAATTAGTTGTTCATTCCCAAAAACCAGGAGCACTGATATCAGCTTTAAGATGGTCGTGGAGCTCTAAAAAATTGTGAACCACTGGCACCATTAAATCAAGTTGGGAGGCCCAGAGGCTGAAAGAAAACAGAGGCTACTTTACTTTTAAAAAGATAAGGGGACCATAGATAAATCTAGAATGAAAAGTCTAATGGTTAATGTAGAAAAGAGACCTTTAATAAAATGACTCATCATGACTACATCTATCAGTTACTTATTTAAATGTTCATATTAGTTGGAAATCCAAACTCTGATTATTGCTATGATATGTTTTCACCTAACTTCCAAATATACAAAATAAGGTAAGAGTTTTAAACTAGTGGGTCTATTTCCAAAATTGGCATAGAGGCAAGAAATTAAGATTGTATTGGATAGAACCCTAGGAGAGTAAGGTGGTTCATTGGTTGTTCGGAGGTGGCTTCCTGGAGCCCTCGGTGGAGAAGGTTTCTAAGGCAACTCTGAGCTCAGTGGGAAAAGCTGCGAGATGGAGAAGCAGCATGCCTGCCCGGGGCTAGGAAGAGGCAGCATCGCAGCACCAATGCTGGGTAACTTGCCAATCTTGCCAACCCAAGGCATGACTATTAGCATCTAAAGAGTACACAAATCATGCCCAAGTATCTTTATGAGCCGTAAGAAACATTCTTCACAACAAGACAATGAAGTCAAGCGCAAAGAGTACATTACATCGACGTGCCTACAATACAGGGGCGTTGAAATTGCTTTCCGAAAAGCTTGAGAATGATAAAATATACTGGAGTAAATAAA